ACAAAATTTACACATTGTTCACTTAGTCGAACGTCCAGTGTGTCGGATTTAGGGGGATATATTGGCAGGAAGGGAATATAATACAATAAGTATGTTTTCCTAAGTGTATAATCACCTGAGAATAAGAATTGTTGTGTTTTCATTACCTTAGAATGAGTCGTTTATACTTACATAGGGAGCGGGTCCTCATCTATGAAGATCGCTATGTTGCACTCCGATGTTTCTACAGAAGCCCATAATGGACAAACCAAACACTGGCTCAAGATAGGGCCATTTGCCTTTTTGTGTTTTTGCATCAGCCATCTTAGTTTTCAGCCTCCCTGCAACGAGAATGTTGGAAAAACACAGATTTTTTAACATGAAACTGCTTTATTCAGTGTTTTTACCGGTTCAAATCACCATCGTCCATTTGTTTTAGAGAGGATGAGACCTCTGCGAATAATTTGGCTCCTATAAACCTCCTGAATGTCTGGATCAGAAACAAAGTGAGCACACATTAAGTTATAATAGATAATAGGTGAGCATACATATCAGGTGCTGGGCTAGCAGTCCCGAACAGGGTAGGAGAAACACCGATTTTTAACATGAAACTACTTTATTCAGTGTTTTTACCGGTTTTAATCACCTGGTCTGTTTGTTTTGGAGAGGAAGAGACCTCTGTGGATAATTCGGCTCAGGGTAAAAACCTCCTGAACAATAAGCACAGAAGGAATTCTAACTGGGGGAAGTTTCAGCTGGTTGCAATCTGCAATCTTCACCACTAGATGCCACTAAATCCCCCTAAATCTTACACACTGTTCCTTTAAGTGCATTTTAACTTGGACACATATTGCAACTAATTTAAAGAATGTCTAACCTTGACTGCTAGACTAAGACAAAAAAGAGACCAGCCCAATAGATGGAGGATGAAATGAAATAATTAGCATGTTTTATTTACCCTGGTAGTGCGAGGACATTGGTGGAAGAAATAGGGAACTAAAAGAGATTTTTAACTGGAGGTGAAAGACTCATATTAGCTGGGTTCCTGATTAAGCATGCTGCTTCAGGAGCTGCCGGTTCACTCTAGCGCTTAGCATGCTGGCTTCTCCATGCTCATCTGCACATAGCTTTGACTTAAAGTGGCTGGATACTGTATGCAGCATACAGTGGAGAATCCAAAGCCCAGATTGTCATCCAAACAACTCATATCACTATATACTGCGTAGTATATAAGAGATTGTACGTAACTGTGTGGATATGAGTTGGTCAGAGGCCTCAAAGAACTTCTAGTTGCTTATTACTGAGCATTTCAGCTAAATTAACAACTCATTCGCCAGTTTCTTCATGTACAGAGGGGATTAGCTATTTAGGAATGAAGAAGCACCTCAGATTTCCAGGACAATCATTCCCATGTGGATTTACTCGGCCTACATCACTGGTGTTAGTTCTTTTTTTAGTTCGCATTAAATTACTCTAAAAATACAGCCCGTTACATAACATGTTTTCATGTTTTTGCCCTTACCTAATTGCACGTTTCTACACCAAAAAAAGTGTGCACATCATAGCACCCTGCATTTCCCCAACAACCTTTTAAAAAAAACAGCTCTCACTCCCAGTCAGCCTCCTGTCACATACCTGTTCTCCCACCCAGTGTTCCCTCTGTCACAGTCAGAACAACAAAAATAAATTAAAAATATCCAAATTTGATAGTTTTGTTTGATCAAAGCGGTTTGCAAGTTTTTGAAGCTTAACTCCAGCTTGTAGGTTTGACCTGTTCACTGACCAGTGTCTCCTTCTGAAGGTGTACCCCTATGAAATGCTCATGATAACCAGTAGAGGGAGAGCTAAACTGCCCAGGGATGTGGACAGAACCAGACTGGAGGTATCAGATTTCCACCTGACTGTCCGCAATTGATACTGGATTTCTCTACTTTGTGTAAATAACATGTTACACAAATACAATTGTAGCAAGGAATGTGCAGTATCCATTGCTTCTTGTCATTTTTGCAGTGACCCTTTTTGTGGCTTTGGTGCTAACCACAAACACCCCTCCCCTCCCACCCTCCCCTCCTTTGTTTTCTCCACCTTTGTTCTCAATTCTAGCGCCACTTAGCACCTGAAACGTTCTTTGACATCTTTGGAATGGAGATCCAGGAGTTTGACAGGCTTCCCCTGTGGAAACGCAACGACATGAAAAAGAAGGCCAAGCTCTTCTAGCACTCAGAGCAGCATGCACATACTGTACATTCATTCAGATAGCACACGACAACTGTAATCTAGATGTAGGTTTTGGTTTATTTCCTTTTCTTCTGGGGTTTTGTTTTCTCCTGGCATAATCAAGGAAGCCATGAAATGGACTCTTTTTGCTCTGACGCTTCCTGAGACTGTGAGCTGAATGATTTGTCCAGTTAGACACGCACAGGAGACGAGGAATGGGAATCTCTTCCATGTTCAAAAATGACAAAGAATGAATGATAAATAGGGTCATGTTATTTGGTTTGACTGCGCTTGTTTTACTTCTTGCTTTGCTTCGAGTGGAACTGCTTTCCTTTCTTTCTTGCTTGTTTCTTCCTACTATTTGTTGCTGTTGATTCCCGTGGAACTTTGTAAGTACAGTAGAACCTCATGGCGCCATTATGAAATGTCCATGCTTGTAGCTTGAACATGTGTCAGCTTTCCTTCGCTTGGGCTGAAACAGTTTTAGTCCAAAGTTTGCAAGAATCGGCTCAGTGAGTCTTTGAATAAAAAAATAATAATTAAAAAGCCACTGGGAAAGCAGTCAGCTGACCCATCAACTGTTTTACCGGATCTACATGGGAATGAATCATCCAAGCACCTACACATCGGCAGTCTCCTTCCCCCCCGGCTACTGTACACGCCAAACATTCATCTGACCCTGACAAAAAGAAAATGTCTCTCTTCTCAGGCTCTCATTAACATGGCCAGACACTTTCCCTTTATGTGTATTGGAAGTACAAATCTTAATATATTTTAGTGCCGTATCCAACGTACAGTAACCAACAAATAGATAAAAACACCTAATGTAAGAAGCAACTGTATTTGAAAAGTACTGTTTTATAAATGAAAACCCACACTGCCATTTGTTGTATTGAAATCTAAGCCAATAAAGCTTTAAATCACCATGAACCATATGATCCTCAGCTATACCAAAGGTACCCACCGCCTCTTTTCTGTTCTCTGTTTTCTTCTTTGCATGTCACCAATAAACACAGCGTTTCTGTGAAGTCACACAGGGGGAGAGGTGACCTGAGGACTGGTTTACTTTTATGGGACCAATCAGACGGTGGAGTCTGTTGACTTTGTTCACAAACTTTGACTAATTGGGGCCTGTACGAGGAAAAATCCCTCTGAGCTTGGCCTTTTACTCTGATACAAATACCTAGTCTATAGCTGCATCTTAAAGTTTTGTGTGGGGTCAAATATACCTCTGATGTTAATACACAAACTAGCGAACAACAACCACAGAGTAAAGATTTAGAACTACCCTTTAAAACTTCATTACAGCCTTGAAAGCCCATTTGCAACACATCATTTCCTGCATATAAAACTGAACACTTTCCAAAGCATACCACCGTTTTTTAATATGCGAGTTTTATTTATTCAAAGCAGCTATTTGTGTTTATATTTCCATATCAGCATGGCTTAAATTAAATCCTACTTAAAAAACATAATGCATCACTGTGAATATTAATAGCATTTCCTGTTTTATTTTTTTATTGTGTGCTATTGCAGTTGCAAACAATGATTATCTGAACACCTCCGCAAGACTGATGCGTTCAAGTGCAGTTGGGAAGGCAAGACATCTGAGACTTGGCAGCTACAGCAACCTCTTTAATGCAAGGAAGTCTTTTCATCCTGTATAATAATATAAATAATAATAAGTTCAATAATACATCCATGTTTTCCTACTGTTTGTTCTTTGGGTTTGTGTTTCCAACAACATGGCAACTCAGTGTATTAATAAAAAAAAGCGGTGCTGTACTCTTATTAAAAATCAGATGTCAGATCCTCTCACCTGGACATTATAAAACACTAACCTGAGGACTTTTAAAGACAATGCTTTATATTGACTTAGTTACCCCACAATGATAAGGTAACTACCAAAAAAGAAGGAAGCTAATTTCTAATTGAATGGATAACTCACCTCAAGCATATCTCTCCAGTTTTAATTTTCACGCTACACTGAAATGAACTGAACAGTTTCTCCCTGGATGGCAGGGGACACAGTTAAATATCCCCTTTGGACTCGTTTTAAGACATAAACCTCTCTGCTTCTAATAACAATTGTGTATAAGGGTTTTTTTCATAATAAGCCAGTTAAAGGATTTTAAAATTACATCTACTCCTTCTACCTCACTGAAAAAAAACAGAATATATATATGCAAGTAGCGTTTATTTTGAACTACTAGATAGAGGATGTCTCTTTCTCTGGAAAGTCTGTGTATGTGTACTGGAGGTTTAAAGTTTTCACATCACACTTGTGTAAGTTGCCTGCTGGGCCGTGATTGGCTTCCAAAATGGTTGTGATGTCACAAAATCCTGCTCCTACATAAGCATCTTAAACTGAGCTTTAATGTGATCACAGAGAAGCTTTCCTCCTCCACCAGATGAGTGTCAAAACACTGTCAGATACATCATTCTGCACAGTGACGCATGTAAGTGAGGTTACAATAACCAAGATGTATTTTGGGATAAAAGGGAATTAACAATGTAGAAAACCATGGTGTGCTTTGGAAAATGTCTGCAGTGGTGTAAAACATGGAGCAAGTTGTAGCAAGAAATAAAAAGCACAGACTTCTCAGTATGGGTCCTAAAATGTTACAACAAAAAATAGGTATCAAATGCATCACTTGTATTTGTGAGAGCAGTAGTGTGGCCTCATTCAGTCACAGGGGGATTATCATGGGACAGATGTGAGTGGTTGTGGACACAGCAATCATATTTTTCCTCCTGGAAAATGCAGCACTGACAAACACTGACACAAGGGATATAGAAGACAGATGGCTGCCTCTGGGATCACAACCCTGAGTGTGGCCAGTCATGTAATGTTAAGGAGGAGATCAATGAGCATAATTTTCCACCTGATTAGATGGCACCAACACAGAAAAGCCTTTAGTGCTGCTAACAGGAAAATGCACCATTTAAAAATACAGAAAATACGGCAGACCCTATGCCTATTAATAAACAGTCAAAGAAAAAGACAATATGGCTGTTGCAGTGAATACAGTCCTGTCAATCAGTCAGTCTCTGCTTTGTTGCTGTCTACATCAAGTCTCACAATAAACTGCTTCTGCAGCTGCGCTTCACCACAGCTGTCCGACTGCTGCCGAACTGAGCTGTGCTGAATATGTGTGCAACCCCTTCTACAGGAGACTTTAGAAAATCACCAAGAGTGTCTAAAGAAGCAAAGGGATGCAGTGAAATACAGACTGAAAAAACTGGCAGCACGGCAATCAGAAATCACAGTAAGTGGTGTTCAGACCATTGTATGGAAGCTCGTTACTGCCAGTGTGATGAAAAAAGACCCCCCAAGTCATTATAATGAAGATGTCTCTAAATCATGAGTTAGTATCTCCAAATGATGACATATTACCTCAAAATAATTAGTTTTTTCTATCACTAAATAATGAAAAACTTTCTCAAAATACTGACTTACTGTACTTATCTCAAAATATTCTGAGCAACCAAGTCATTATTTTGAGACACCAAGTCATTGTTTTTGCAATACTGCCATTATTTTGAGATAATAAGTTATTATTTAAAGATACTAAATCATTATTCTGAGATACTGTCATTATTTTGAGAACCTAAGTCATTATTTTAAATGCTAAACCATTATTTTTTAAATACTAAGCTATTATTTTGAAATATTATGTCATTATTTTTGAAAAAGTTTCTCAATATTTTGCAACAGTAATTCTCAGATATTATTTTGAGATACAGTACCAAATCATTATTATTATTATCATTATTTAGCAAAACTAAGTCATTATTTTAAATGCTGAACCAATATTTTAGATACTAAATCATTATTTTAGATGCGAAACCATTATTTTTGAGATACTAAGCTATTATTTTGAAATATTAATTCAGAATTTTGAATAGTTTCTCAATATTTTGCAACAATATTCATTATTTTTTAAATACTCAGTTATTATTTTTGGGATACCAAATCATTATTCTGAGACACTGACTCATTATTTAGCAATACTGAGTCATTATTTTAAATGCTAAACCATTATTTTAGGCATAAACCATTATTTTTGTGATACTAAGTCATTATTTCAAAGTATAAAGTCATTATTTAGCAACAGTAATTCATTATTTTTGAGATACTAAATCATTATTTTGAGGTACTATGTCATTATTTTTGAGATACTCAAACTTAACAAACTTATTTGGTGATAGGTTTTTATTTTGAGATATTAAGTCAATATTTGGAGAAAGTTTCTCATTATACTGACGTCGAAGATCTTTGTTTTTAATCCCATTGGCGGAAATGGGCTTCCATACAATGGGTTTCTATACCAGTCGGTATTGAAATTTTGCCACAACATGAAATCTGACATTACATTTTAAATTAAACAATACATTGCTTATCCTGCAGTAAAAACACTAACATTATAATTATAATATGAACGGACAGTATGATAAACTAATACATGCTTGTGCCTGACTCAGAAAAAGTCCTCTGTGATAAGAGAGAACATCATACGGAAATATCAGGAGATCCAGGCCGTCCTGGATGAGGACTTGAGGATTACCTTGTCCCATCTGGAGATGGAGGAGCGGGCTGCGGTCTCTGCCCTGGATGGGCTGATGGAAAGGAACTGTTCTCTAATCCAGGAGATAGAGCAGGACCTGGCCAGACTCACTGTGGCAATGGACCAGCCCGAAACAGAGCCTGACACAATGGTGATCAAAGTCCAGTGAATTAAATATGATTGTTTACAATTCTTACCTTCCTTCTCATTTGGGTATGGGAACTAAAAATATTACAGTTTGATTTTTACAGTCAATTTAATCTTGTTTTTTCTGCGTTTCCTCAGTCTTTCTTTTCATACCCTGAGCAGCAAGACACAGAGACAGTGGACAGGTATGGAATTAAATCATAATTCAGATTTAAAGAAAAAGTTGAGCACCAGCTGATGTTTAACTCACTATGGTCTGCTTCCTCCAGAGTGATTGATCTGCTAAACAGGACAGACCCGAGCAGTGTGAGCCTGGACGAAGTTAAAGCTGACCAGATCCTCAGCCTCACCAACAACATGCTTCTGCTCATCAGCTCACAGACCCCCTTAATGAAGAAACTCACCAAGAGCTGTCAGTTCACATTCTTTTTAAAGTGTTCATAACAGTTTGACCTCTTTTGTAATCCTCAGTGTAAAAGTTGTTAAATATGTGTCTCCAGATTCTAGTGAGGTGAGTCTGGATCCAGAGACGGCCCACCCAAAGCTGATCATCTCCCCCCGGGGTGACAGTGCCACCTACACAGACACCTGGCAGCAACTCCCTGACCTCCCCGGACGCTTTGACACCACCCTCAATGTCATTAGCTCGCAAGGCTTCAGCTTTGGTCGCAATTACTGGGAGATTGATGTAACTGGGAAGACTTACTGGGAGCTTGGTGTCACCTATCCAAACATTCCCCGCAAGGGCACCACTGAGGACTGCTGGCTGGGCCGGGGGTACGAGTCCTGGTGTGTGGAGTTCTTTGATGGGGAGTATACAGCCTGGCATGGAGGGGTGCCCCATCAGCTGCCTTTCACAAAACATTTCTGTCGGATTGGTATTTTGTGTAGTTTCCCTGCAGGATTGGTGACGTTCCTTGAGGCAGACAATATGACACCGCTGTTCTCTTTCTGTGCAGGAACCTTCTCAGACTGCCTCCACTTGGCTCTCTGTCCTGGTCATGACCACAATGGCATCAATGCTAAGCCTATTGTAATCTGTAATGATCCATCCTCTACCAGTGATCTCTGATTCATGGCTCCACAGAAATGCTTTCAGTAACTCCTTGCTAAGGCACCACTTTCTAATAATGCACCAATATAAAGATTTATACGTTGTAACTAATGGTGTTATCAATAATTAAAGAAGACTAAAAGTTTACAGCCATGCTATAGTGGCTCTTTGAGACTGTAGAAACAGTGGTGCTTTGAGCTAAATGCTAACATCAGAATGCTAACACTGATAATGCTAATATGCAAGGAATATGGTTATCATGTTCACAGTCAGCTAGAATCTACATGAATTAAAGCTGAGGCTGGTGAGAATGTCATTAGTTTTTCCTGGTATTTGGCCATAAACCAAAGTATGGGACAAATTAAAATTTTGACCTGGTGATGTTACAATCACAAGTAAGTAGCACAGTTATTACAGTTTATCTTGAATATCTACAATGTTTGGTATCAACGCATCCAGTAGATGTTAAGATTTTTCACAGAATAAGCAAAAAGTCTGACCTATAGGTGGCGTTAGAAGAAATGTCAGGAAGTCACCAGAAACCTTAGAGTTCATCTTCTCAGCATTATCTGTATCAAATTTAATGGCAAACCATCCAAAAGATGTTGAACCACTTTACCTAAAACCACAAATGACAGCCTTGTGGTGATGCTTGAATAATGGTAGGGTTCATCCTCTGGGGACCACGAAAGTCTGTACAAATGGTGCAATTCCATCTTATAGATGTTGAGATATTTCAGGGGATAAGGGACAACCATGACCTGCAGGTGGCAGTAGAGGAAAAGTCAGTGAATAGACCAAGGGTAGGCAACCTGCGACTCTGGAGCCACATGTGGCTCTTTAGCCCCTCTCCAGTGTCTCCCTGTGGCTTTGATGAAAAAAATATATGTAAATGAATAACGGTTATTTTATTTATTTATTTATTTATTTATTTATTGATTTTTTAAAACAAATGTATTTTTATTTATCAGTGTTGTAGGCCTAATGAAATTATCACATTCTCCAACTGTAAAAATATGAAGCATATATGCGGAATAACAAAAAAAAAAAGTTTAAAAGTTTAACATTTAAAAAACTAAAATGTGTGTAATACATCTACTGCCTGGCACCTTTTCCTTGAAGTTTTGTTAAACCTCAATAGCAATGGCTAGCCTCGAGTCTTCCTAGCTGGTTAGCTATGGATGCCAAATCCAAAAAGTAAAAGTCTTGGACTAAAAGAGAATTAAGTAGTGCTTGGACAGATTTGTTTGCTTTCCCTGCCAGTTCTGCAAAGTTAAAGTACCAAATAATCATAAAGAGTGCCACCTTGTGGTAAAACATATTAATAAATGCTCATTTAGACTATCAGTATAGGCTAATTTGGACTTCATGGGCTGCCTTACCTTCATTATAAGGCTCAAATATGTTTTGCGGCTCCAAACTGATTATTTGTATTATTTTCGGTCAAAAATGGCTCTTTTGATAGTAAAGGTTGCAGACCCCTGGAACAGACCAGGGGTAGACATTGAAATTAGTTAGAAAATAAAATCTGGTTTGCGAGGTTGTGAAACATCTGTCTGGCTATTGATTATCCTTTATATTTGCTAATTATTAACAAATGCTCATTTGTGTTTCCCACTTAATGATCTAATCATCCACCCATTCTAAAACTGAAAATGGTAAAACACTCTTAATAAATGTGTTTTGGACCAGATGCAAACCTTTCCTCAGGTTCAGGAGTATCTTCCTAATGAATTTGTCATATTCAGTGTTATTATTTTAAGTTTCTAAAAAGAAAAAGAAAGCGTCATGCTGGAGAAGAACAAACACAACCTATTAAAGCATTACTAAATTCGTTATTAACATCAATAAAACCATTAGTTACAACCAATAAACTCTTTATAAAGGGTGTCTTATTAGAAAATGGTGCCCTTGCTAATACTGCATTGCTTCTCTGAAATAACTGAATGTATCTGAGAAAACATAGAGGCACAATGTTTTTAAAATGTTAAACATGTTAGCTGAGCACACTACACATTTCTCTCAGTGCCTGTATATGTGTATTAAACCTTCAAATGAATGTACAGAAACATTAGACGCAGTGTGACCCATCTCTACATCCATTAAACAAAGAACAAGGGCCATGAAAGCAGTGTTTATGTATATTTAGTTTACTTTTGTATGACAAAGTTGTTTCAGAAGGGTTTCAGTCTTACTTGGAAGTCATGAATGTGACTGATAACTGTTGCACAAGTGATGCTATTGCATAAGTGACTAAGCATACAATCATGCTTTAAATCCTATAATTTACTCATGTTGTAAGTGCATAAATAGATCTAAGAAGCACACAGTAATTTATCCTGAAATGCACCCAGTGTGTTTGGATTCAAAGTCTATACAAACAAACAAGTGGCTTTGCAAATATACTCTCTGAGCCTTTGTGTTGCCTCTGAGTGTGTGCTTATCCTACTCTATCAAAATTGGCTCTAATGAGTTTCAATATTAAAATGTTTCCAGGGGGGCACAGACACTGATCTTGACTTTGCACCATTTATTTGTCCATTATAAGTGTCCACTAACATGAATAGTGTTCTGCTGATTATTACTCAGAAAAATGAGTTTACAAGAGCGCAGTAAAAATCAATAAAAATGACTCAACAGCAGGGAGAGATGCCAGACAACCACGCTGAATCAAAGGTTAGTGTACTTACACAAATGTTTAAAAAAGTGAGAGTGATTTGCCAGACAGTGCACTCTCACTTCACTCTGCTGGATGTCTTCTGATCCACTGCCATCATGAACCTGAAGCTCCTCTTCTTTTGCCTCTTCTTAGCGGTGCTCCTCATGCCTGCTGAAGTATGTATTCACTGTATATCTGATATTGTGTAGGAATAAGCAAAAGTACTGGCTTTTATTTACAATGTTGCAATGTATGATAGGGGGTTTTGATGGGAATAAAATGCAGTAGAGCTTTTTGTCCATGTTTCTGTTTAAGAAGATAATTCACTACATTGTTTTGTCGTCAATATCAACAAGATTCTACATTATTATTATGACTCTAATGCGGTGCTTTCAAATCATGATTTAGCTGAAACGTAAAAGAAAGCACAAACATCATGGCCATAATCATCATGAGCATGGTTATGGGCCTTGGAGACGTGGGCATCTAAAGAAGGGAAGACTTGAGGAGATACTTAAAGGTAATTGCCTCTTTTTATTCCTTTATATTACATTAAACCAGAACAATATATGACCTTTTTCATGGGGTAAAAGCGAGAGGAAGAAAACAATGCTTTATATCTCATAAAGGAAAATTATTGTTGTAGACGACTTCTTTGCAATCCTGGATGAAGTTGGTGATGACAACGATGATGACGAAGACGACGACACTTCAGACTGGCTCTATGAACTTCAAGAGCCAGCAGGTTACAGAGTTATTCTGTCAAACTGTTTATACCAATCTGTGATGTCACATTTCCCCATAAAATGCTGCATCACACAGGTAAGCTCTAATTTAATGCTCACATTCCCCTCTCAACTTTTCTCATTTTTCAGGCAAATGCCACCCAAACCCTTGCCTCAACAATGGAGTGTGTGAGGAGAAAGGGAAGAAGAAATTCAAATGCGACTGTCCAAAACCTTTCAAGGGACAGAAATGCCAGAGAGGTTTGAAAAACAAATCCTGCTTTCCTATTCATCTGCACATAGGTAATATACACACAATATGTATGAGCAAAAATGAATTACTATGTCATCATCTCAGGTCCAAGATATTGTAAAAGAGGTCGATGTGGTCGTGGTGAATGTGTACTGATTTCAACTCCCCCATTCTATGAGTGCAAATGCAAGGCGCCCTTCCAGCCTCCACGCTGCAGACACTGTAAGGAGTATTTCTTTGTCCAAACAAGACAGAATAAATTTCTACAGTTTCTGAAAGCAAGCTTTCACTATTAATTGTTTTCCTCCAAAGTTGCACTTTGTGAGCCTAATCCATGTAGGAATGGTGGACAATGCGTCGTAGAGGGTAATGACTTTGACTGCCAGTGCCCTCCAGGGTACAGAGGACGTTTCTGCCATGTTGGTAAATACCACATCCTACATTATGATTTTAGCCTAATGTATGTATCACCATAATATATATGAATATTGTCTGAGTAAGGTTTATGTCTTAGGCCCAGATGACTGCTATGTGGAGGACGGAGAGTCATACCGTGGCAATGTGAGTGAGACAGAAGACGGAGATGAATGCCTCTACTGGAACTCTCACTTCATCCTGGAGAACGGAGCTGATCCCTTCAGCGCCTTCGAGGACAGACACGGACTTGGCCCTCATAACTTCTGCAGGTCAGATAGACAGTTAATAAGTGTATAGAAATAGCAGTGGACATCTTCAAGATGTGGAAGCCCTGAGAGGGAAATGAGAAAAGATATTATTGTGATCCAAGTTTTAGGTCTGATCTAAATAGTTAAGAACAGGTGGAAAAAAAAGGTCTCCCAAAAGAATCTTCCCAAATTCCTTGTTTTAAATCTGCAAAACACGTTAAAAAAAACCAGGTTTGCCGGGATAATGGATGATTTTCTATTAAAAAAAAATTAATCTGTGAAAATAGGTGGGGAAAAAAGTTTTAGCAGGTGAACTTTTTTTTGGCAGGATGATTTTTTTTAAATGTTTGCTGTTATAATACTAATTCCAGCCAGTGCGCCACTTTTATTCCAGGTGAGTTTTAATTTATCCATGCATTCTAAATGTGAGGTACATGTAATAAGTGTTAGCAAGTTATATAACATGACTATTATGTTTTTCTTTTGGCTAAAAATAAAACTCACCTGGAAGAAAACATGAATGCTTTTCATGTTGTGTAGTAAAAAGTAGTGGTGAACTTCAGCCTCCTGTGGTGGAAATAAGTATTACAACAATAAACACAATTATCGCTGCAAAACATTTTTTTCCTCACCTGTTTCACGGATGAAAAAAGAACTTAGGAACCCTATCGAGCTTAGAAAGATTATTCTGATAAAATCTTTTTTTCCCACCAGTT